AAAAAAACTATGCCTTTGTAATGCAACGCATGGGTGCAAGCACAAAGAAAAGACGAACGGCAAGCCACAATTTCCAAAACTATGAAATGCCAAGACAAAAGTCGCAGCACCTTTGTTCTCGCAGACGAATCTAAGTGATTCGTTACACCCTCACAGGACTTCTGCATCACTCTGGAATGCAGCGTAAACATCCTTGATCAAAAGGATGAGCTTCCGGCGATCTCCGTTTCACTGCTTCCAGGTGGCATCAAGGCAAGCAATGGATGTTGCGTTGCCCTCAAATGGAGCATCAAGAGCACTTTGAGGTTTTCACATTGCCATGTTGCCCGCGGTGGTCCTCATATCCAAGCTCATTCAACATGAATGGACTGGACCCCGCGAGAACAGTCAACAATATTCAGGGGAATGTGCACAATCAAAACAATATCACAGGATATCACAGGATACCAGAATATCCATCGTCAGGAAGATCAGGAAGGCTCCCTGTTCTTCATCACCCCAAATAGATCGTGATAGTCAGTGACCAGCCGCCCGGGCGCCCGAACTGCGGCGGGTCTCGACCCCACGACCAAACCAGGCGCTGGACGACCTCAGACCGAAACCCTGCGGACTTGGGACGGAAATCCATCCGTTCATTGACATCATTGGTTTGTATGGTGGACTTACTGAGAGGTCTTGGATTGCAACTAGGCCAAGATGAAATTGTGGAGGTTCTCTTTGGGAAAAATTGGTCTACATATGGCTATACACGCCAGGTTATATAAACGACGCAAACAAGCATACCACATACCACCCTACGTCCAAAAACGTTCCTTTGCATTCATCCTCGCAGGTGGACCTGCACACTGGGCACCCTGCGATCCAGGTTGTTCGGGTTCGAGGGCTGCCTACACAACAGGCTCCACAGGCTTCATTCGTGCGGAGAACATCCCACAACTCGTCGATGACACAGGTGGAGAATACCGGCCAACTACCGCATCACCGCCAAAAAACAAGCATATACAGCATGTAAGCATGTTACACATACCGTACTTGCAGAGACATAGATCATGGATCCATTCAATTTCGTTCCGGACACTCACCTGACCGGTGACCTCCGTCGTCAGACCGCGCTTCGCGAGTGCCGCAAGAACGGCGCCTTTGCAAGGCTTCGGCACTCTCACCTGCACTCATTGGGCGGAAAAAGGAAGCAGTACAACTGAGTTGTCAAGTGGAGCCTCGAACATTTTAAGATGTTTCAAAAATTCGGAGTTGATTGACATGGTCCAAAGATCTAATGCACACTCTCCGAAACAATCATGGAAGTGGGCCCCTGGTCTGCTCAGCTCCATCATTCTCTGAGGGAGGGTATATAACGGGTAGAGAAAGCCCAAAGGTGGGGAGGAAAATAGATGAAACTAGTGGAAAATGTTGCCAAGGTGTCGCCCAAGGCACTGGAGCTCAGAATGCTGCAGTCCCTCAAAAAGCACCGGAACCTCATGCGCCAAGACGGACTTCGAAGGGCCGCACGGGTTGTTCGTTTGGGCTGGCTGTGATCAAAGTTGAGGACTCTTCCGCTACAATCATTGAGCAAAGGCAGGTACATATGTGTTCACGGCTTCAGACATGGACTTGGGTGTTCATGACCCACTTTGGTGAGTGGGCCATGTGGTCAGCCTGCACCAATTCACTCTAACTCTAGACTCCTCATGTAGCTGCTGGTCAAAACACAAAGAATCACACAAATGACATCCACATTTACGACTTTGACTCTGGACCTCACTCCAACCTTTACATACCCGGCACTCTTCCCACATCTGACAAACTCTGTTACGGTCTAGTCGACGTGGGAAGACGCCGCACGAAAAACCCGAGTTTCGAGTCAGAGGTCCATCCGAACGGAGACCTGCAGTCACAAAACGTGGGACACGTTGTAGGTTTGCAGTTCACCATGGCCTTGTAGTGCTCAAAGTTGCACCCCCTGGAGCTGTACAGTCCCCAGTGGCCTAGGCATGCGGCCCGGCAAATTCGGGCGTACTGTAAAGGAATGTCACTGTCTTGAAATCATCCAGCGTGCATCACTGCAGATCTATATTTGTTGAGTCTACTCTGCGATGGAAATTCCACTATATACATGTGTGTATCTTTTTACCGTAGTCGGGCCGGGAAGTTTGAGTAGATGGTATGATTCGAGGTATGATTCGGGGGTATGATTCGCAGATGATTCGCAGCTTTGAAGTTGTATTGTTGGATTAGCTGGACTTCCAGCAGTGGGCCCGCTCTGCTCCGAGGCAGTAGGCAAGCAGCATCTGTTGGATGCTGGGCAGACTAGGCAAATGCACTCTTCCACCCAAAGACTCCAGTGGCCCTGCAGGCCCCACCAAAACAACCAGGATGTGGGATGGGTGGGAGACTGTGTGGAGGTGCGTGATTCAGGTATGAATCGGGCATGAATCGGGTGTGATTTGTATGGCCATTAGATTCTGCAAAAGAAGGCGGTCCTTTGGCTCTTCTTCTCAAGGGAGAGCACATGGGAACATTATGAGTACCCCTGGGATGTGAGCCTTTGCTCTTCCCACGAGAAGACACAATGGCCAAATTGAGTGCTCATGGATCACACAATTGCAAACGTCATGCACCATTGGCTCATGGACATCTATATACAAGGCACAAAGACCAACCAAAAACTTCACCTTAACACCTGGTTCTTACGTGTAACGTTTTGAGGGGTATGATTCGGGGGTATGATTCGGGGGTATGATTCGAGGTATGATTCGAGGGTATGAATCGCTCAAGTCGAACTTCCAACCACTACATCAGGAAGTACACGCCAAAAAAATACAAACCCGTTTCTGGATATCATATTTCACTTATCAAATCCATAATATATACATATCTCAACACCCGACCTAAAGCGAACGATCATAAACCCAAATGGGTAGCAGGATGTGGCTCAAGCTGTTTTTTCTACGTTGGGCCAAGTAGCATAGTGAAGGAAAACACGGCCTGGCCGAGCCGTCCCCTGCTCACAAGTCCGCAAACTCACCAAATTCATCATCTCCACCCATGCATGGAAAGGCTATGTCAAGAAATTTGCATGTGTAAAGACACGTGTCAAGAATCATGAAACAGCCAGGGTCTGCGGACCCTGGTGCTGACTCAGACAGTTGCTGAATTCTTTGTCCGCACTTGTGACCCCAATCCCGAAACAAACAAACTGCCGCTGCAACTGTTAAAGAACATTTCCTGGCCAGAAAAGGACCCCATCATACCACAAGGCGACCCCATGTCATTCAACACGGCAACTTGCTGCGAT